CCTCCCTCCCTCCCTCCCTCCCTCCCTCCCTCCCTCCCTCCCTCCCTGACTCCCCTTCTTCTTGTTTCTCTCTCTCCCATTCTATCTGGTCTCCCCTCTCCTCCCCCCTCTCTTATGTCTGACGTCTCCTCCCAGGGTCGCCGCCTTGTCCAACGACGCAGCGTTCCTCATGACCAAGGCCACGGAGACTTTCATCGGCTGGGTCACGTCTAAGGCGTTTGCTCTGCGGGAGGCCAGAGACAAGAGGAGAGTTCTCGAGTACAACGACTTTCCTCACTGTGTCTCCGAGTACCCTGACCAACTTGAGTTCTGTACCGACCTGTAAGCCATGCATGTTCTGTGCGACCTGGCGGGATGGCTCTGACTCTGCTGTGCTCCCTTCCAGCCTCCCTGAGAAGAAGCAGAAGTGGCAGCATCTTGGCATGGATCCTCCTGCCAACCTTCCTGAGGAGACTCAGGCGCCCCCAGCCAAGAAACGAACTTCCACCGGAGCGAAGCCCTCCCCGAAGACGAAGGCGGACAAGTCAGGGCACGAGCCCAAGGAGCCCAAGGAGCCCAAGGAGCCCAAGCCCAAGAAGGCTTCAACTTCCAAGAGTTCAGGGGGGCAGCACAAGGTCAAGGGATCGCCTCAAGTCCCTCATGCTCAGGGCCAGTACTTCGTCCCCCAGGCCCCGGGCGGCCTCCCGTTGACCCAGGTGATGGGCGCTCAGTTTGCGGGCAACAGCAGCTACATGGAGGTGAAGGGGCAGCCTGGCATGCTGGACTCGCATGTGAGGGCTGGCGGAGGCTTCGAGCTGAGCTCCTTCCAAGCGGCGCAGCTCCCCGGCTTCTCCCTCCACAACCATGGGGCAGTGCAGGAGCAGATGGCGAGGATGATGCCGCAGGCCGACGTCTCCTCGTCCTTTTCCAACGGGTCAGCGCACGCCCTTCCGCATGTGGCTGGTGGCATGCAGGTCCCTGCCTTCGCTCTCCAGCAAGGAGCAGCGAGTTTCCCTGGGATGAAAGTCCCGCCAGTCGGAACTCAGCAGGACGGTCAGGCGCGGAGCCTGCTGATGCCGGAGCTCCCTCCCCTCCAACAGGCTAGGACCTCTTCCTCCTCCTCCTTCATGGCGACTGACCCCTTGAGCAGCTCGAGAGCCTCCGTCAGCTGCAGGGGCTCCAGCGCATGCACGAGCAGCAGGTGAGGGTGACGCTGAGGACGCGGTGGGTGGTGGCTGACATGGGCTGCTGACAGGCCGCGGGTGATGGCCAACAGCAGCACATGTAGGAGAAAAGCGCAAGTCGTTCTCAGCCGTTGAGCTCGTCTGGACTTAGCAGGGAGGCGTCTGGGCTTCGCAGCAGAACTTTAATGTTTATTCATGGCAAACAATGTAATTTATGACAATCAGTGACCCCTTCCTATGGGATGCGACGAGCAGCGTCGAGGGTTTCAGGTTGCTCTGTTTCCTGTCAGGTGCGACTCGAGGACTCGTTTGTGTGAGGAAGCTCGATGACGCCGAAGTATGGAAGAAGGAGGAGGAGGAGGAGGAGGAGGAGGAGGAGAGAAGTAGAAGAAGAGTGGAAGGAGAAGCTGCATGTTTCAAATATTGCTGAGATAGAAAAATTGACGATGAAGAAAGAGCCGTTGCAACGAGGTGGTAGGGGAGGAAGAGGAGGAGGACAGTGTAGGGGAAGGAAATTCGACAACGACCCTTGTCAACTGTTTCTGAGTAAAAATTTATTGCGATCACAAGACCTCGAGCGGGTGGGTTGTCGCTAGAGTATCACTCTGTCGAGTTGCAGTCCATGCAGTGGCTCAGAGCTTCCTGCGGTCATTGAGATGAGTAGGAGAACTCGAAGGAAGCTGGAGAATGAGAGGATGACGAGGAGGAGATAGAGAAGAGCAGGAGCAGGAGCAGGAGCAGGAGCAGGAGCAGGAGCAGGAGCAGGAGCAGGAGCAGAGACAGGGGCAGGAGCAAGAGCAGGAGCAGCATAATCCGAGCATGCTACCCATCCCATCACAATCAAACCATGCACTTGAAGTCAACACTCAACTTCATCTTCACTCTCCCTCCATCACTCCCGCCAAGAGCACATGCAGTCGCCCCATCTTACCCGTTGTCTGTCGCACTCGGACACAAAACCATTGGCCTTGGCTTCCATGCACTTCACCCAAGCGGCTGCCACAGCTGAAGGAGAAACGAATGAGGAGGAGAGGGGAGGGAGAAACCGCGGGGAGGCATAGGCGGGGGAGCAATGAGTGTTGAAGGGGCGAAGAGGCAGGCAGCAAAATTAGGAGGAGGAAGAGGAGGACACCTATGAGGAACAGAGGAGGAGAGACAGGCGAGGAGGAAGAGACGAACGAGGAGGAGGAGGAGGAGGGGGGAGGGGGGAGGCCGACGACGAGGACAAGGACAAGGAGGAGTGGGCGAAGAGGAGGAGAGACAGACCCGGGCACAAGAAGCTTCCTCGGCACTCCATCACATTGTCCGCATCCTCAGCACAGGCAGAGGGGTTGGTCGGGTTCCTCTCCCGGCAGGCCTTGAGCTTCTCGATCACAGCCTTGCAGGCAATGTCTGCTCCCTCCCCATCGTCCTCCCGCCCGACACTCTCCTCCCGAACAGCGTGATGTCCTTGATCTGCCGCGCCATGTCAGCCACTCCCAGCCGCCATGGAAGCAGGTCCTAGCATCACCGTAGGGATGTAGCCTGAGCCCTTCTCATCTTCCTCGTTCTGCTGCTGGTGAAGGTTCAGAGAGGGGTTGAGGCTTGTTTGCCTTCTGCACGCCACACACGTCCCAGCATCTCACATTGTTGCCGCATCATCATCATCATCATCATCATCCTCATCATCATCCTCATCCTCATCCTCATCCTCATCATCATCACCACCACCACCATATCTCATGTCATGTCATGTCATGTCATGTCATCTCAAGTATCTATACAGATGCATTCGCTTTACCCGTAATGCCATACCTCTCCCTCCCTCCCTACCTCCCTCCCTCTTGTCTGGACATACTATCCCTGACCTGTTTGTTGATCCATCTCATCTTTTAGTCTGTCACCCTTCCCAACTATGTCGATTGCCTTTGTACTCTACATCCTTTCAACCTCATCCTCCTTGAACTCCTCCTCCCACTCGTCTTCGTCAGCATCGTAGTCAGCAACTCGCCTACATCAATCTCCCTTACAAGTGTCCTTCCTTTCTCTCTGCACTTATCTCTCTGCCTGACCTGTCCTTTCCATTGCAGTCTGTGGGGTCACAGCCTATCTGCCATCCTGCTTCCCAACTTTCATCCGATCCTCCCTCTTCGCCCTTGAGACTTCCACATTTCACTGTTCCCTACATGCCTCTTCGCAACTTTCTCGTCCCCTGATCCTCTTAGTGCCACGCTCTTTCTCGTCTCCTCCTCGTTCCTATGATCCCCTCTCCTCCTCCTCTTCCCCATGTTCCTCTCCTCCCCTCCCTCGCTCCCCGCCCATCCCAGTCTCCTCCGCGCTCACCGGCATGATGGCCCCCCACACAATTGCAGGGGGTAGGGGGTAGTCAAAGTGGGGTGCGGGTCTGATGTGAGTCTTGGGTAGTAAGGTACATTCTAGAGGTGGGGTACTCAATTAGAGGAGAAGACGGGTCCTCAGCAAACAAGTTTAGGAAGAGTACCGGTAGTACTAGCTTACCACCGGTTATGTGTGTACCGGTATTGTGCAGAGCAGTCTTCAGGTCGAAAGGTAGGGTGTCTGGGAAAAATATACCTGCCAGGATGGGATGGGGTGGGATACATTTTTAAGTGAAGGGGTGGGTTGTCAGACAGGGGTGATGAGGGTAGTCCAAAAAGGGGTGGGTCATACTTTTGCCTTACTTTGATGGATTTGGTGGGTGGGGGTGGTTTTGCTGGGGTGGTCTGCAGATTTTGGTTGCTCAGTCAGGGGTGGTTAGGCGAAGGGGTGGGGGACAAAAAGAAAGTACAAAGGGGGTGGATAATCCAGAGGTACGTTCCTGGGTGGGTACTTCAAGTAGGGGTTCTTTGACTCATTAATTCATGGATAATTGTAGGTAGGGTAGTCTATGGAGGGGGGTGGAGTACATGAACTGAGGTGTGCATAATAGGAAGGGGTTGCACTGAGACATATCACCCCTCTTATAGTGGTCAAATGGAGGGGTACTATCTCTCAACACTGCTGAGCAAAAGTTGTGTCGGTTGGGCCTGAGTCACGCAGCTGCCGCGGGCCCGGCAGCCGGGCCGGGGCGGCCTTACTACTGTCCCGGATGGTCATCCGGGGGGCATCCGGGCCCACCGACGGTGCCGCACTGCGGCACTCCGGGGCCACTGCGGCGCCGGCCCGGCGGCCGCCGCTCGTCGGACTCCCCGATGCCGGGGCCGGCTCAGTTACTGAGCCCCGGGCCCGGCCGAGTCGGAGCCCTCATTGACTCACTGATGGCTGTTGATGTGGCGGCGAGCCCGGCCCGGCCGCGGAGCCGCTGAAGAGGCCGCACTGTAACTTAGTCACTGAACGGACTCGGGCCCGGCGGCACGGTTACTGACCCTAACGTACTGCAACACGGCGCCTGAGGCTGAAAGCGTTACATACGTTACGAGGTTCGAGGGTCGCGTTGGTACAGGTTTCAGATTTATATGACGCGGGGAAGGGGGTGGGGGGTAGAAGAGACCCGATGGAGTAGGGGAGGTGGGGGTAGTCGGAAGAACAGGGAGAGGTGATGACCCTCCTAGGGTCTATGCATTTTTGTGATGATTTAGGGGGTAGTGTGAGGATTTGGAGTTGGTGTTTGGTCGTAGGGAGGGTGGGTGGAGGGGTGGGTTCTCAATTTCACTTAATTTTATTAATCAAAATTATTAGCTAAGTGATCTCTTACCCCCTGATATTGAGTAAAATCTGGAAAATTGACAGCGGGGCGACAGCAAAGGGCATGGGGGGTTTGTGTTAGTCCCTTTGATATAAAACTTCCTCACTAGAGGGTAGAAGTTGACGCAGCCGCTGCCTCCATTGGTGGGGTACTCTTTGCAAAGCCAAAAGAGAGATTGGGAGGTGGGTGGGTAGGGATCAAGAAGAACGGTACCGGTGCATCTTCCACGGGTGCGATCGTCAATAGGGTAGGGTAGGCAAACTTTGTGTGCCGAGAGGGGTAACAAGGGGTAGTAAGCAGGATTACAATCGAATTTCAGTGGTGGGGTGGGGTTGCTGGAGGGGGTTATCAGCGAGGGGTGGGTATGGGGAGTCTGCTGGGTGGGGGTGGGGGGCCTTGTGACGGGTTAATAAAGAAGAGCCTGAGCTCGCCTGCGGATCGGCCTCGCCATGTTCACTCGCGTCTCGATCGTTGCTGCTCTCGCTGCCTCTGCCTCCGCGTTCTCCCCTGCTCCCGTCGTCACTGGCAAGGTAAGCAGGATCCGAGCTGCGATCCCCTGTCGTACTCGATGCTCCCGCGCTTTCCACTGCAGTCTGCAAGTTGGTCGGATCCTGGGATCATGACCCGGGGTTTTGTGATGTTGTGCGCGGAGATGATATGTGAAAACGCTTGCTGGAATGATGATAAGTTGGAGTGACAGTGGCTACATGATGATTCTTGTTTGTGTGTTCTGTTCAGACTTCTAGGTTTCTGATGTTCCATATCCATGTGCCGTTCGTCACGCTTCCAGAAGATTCTGACCTTTCTCTTCCAGGGACTCAGGACCCGATCGTGCGATGTGACCATGCAGATGGACCGTCGCGCCATGGTCAAGGGAGTTGCTGCCGCGGTTGTTGCCGCCCCCGCTGCTGCCTTTGCTTCCATCGGAGACTCTCCCAAGCAGAGCTACTTCGGTGCTGGCGCCATGTCCGCTCCCTTCGGTGACGTCTACGGCCTCACCGGCCCCGGCATCTGGTCCAAGATGAACGACACTGAGCGTGGAATCTACGAGCGCATCCTCGGAGACAGCAAGAAGCGCCTCCAGTCCGTCGAGGACTACATCAACAACAACGAGTGGGATCGCTCTCGCACCGCCCTCCGCCTCGGAATGTACGAGACCCGCAAGGCCATGATCCGCATCAACGAGGCCTCTGGATCCCAGGTCAGGCTCCCGCTGCTGTCTCCTAACTCTCTTGCTCACGCTCTTTGCAGGAGGCTAAGGATTTGTTCGCCAAGTTCAAGCGCCAGCTCGAGGCCACCGACTTCGCCCTCGCTAAGAAGGACGGAGCTCTTGCGTTCAAGCTCCGTGCCGCCACCGAGGTCACCTTCTCCCAGTGGCTCGCTTCCGTCGGCCTCTAAACGCTCCATGTATTCTTGTGCTGATGCACCCCAAACCAAAAAAAATCTCTCAAAACTTCAAAAAAACTAGAAAATAAAATATTTGCTCAACATCGCTGAACTGCAAAGGGATCATCTGCCTATCAAATGCTGGGTTGACATACTGGATACATATGAAACAAGTTCAATACGTTCATTTGAACTCAATTGCCTGCTGCAAGCTACGGATCTCGGATAGGAAGTTAGCCTGCACAAGAATATCAGGAGTTCATCATGTTGTCATCACATGATCACACCTTCACTCGGTCATGCAGCTGCAGGGGATGAGACGCCTCCACTCGCTCCTGAGCGTTTTGCAGCAGACACTGAATCCGAGTCACAGCCTGTCAACTGTCACGACTCGTATGCATGTCCGGGAAACGAATTCGTCCTTACATTCGCGTGATCGTACTCGAGCTATCGTCACCAGACACACACGTCCATGTCAGTCTGGAAGGAAGAAGGAGGGAAAACAAACCTGTTCAACAAGTGTAGAAAGGTGATCATGCTTTCTGTTCAGCTCCACAACCTCCTTCTCAAGCTTCTCAATCTGCATGCCCATTTTAGAATCGTCTCACCATCTCTCTTCATTCCAGCCTCCACTTCCCCATCCCCTCCAACTTCGCTTTCATACTCTCTTGATGCACACGTTCCTCTACCTCACTCCATCTACTTCTCCATGCTCACGTTGTATGAATCGCTCTTCACGCCTTGGTCGTGGGTTCTGATCTTCTCAGCGGCTTGCTCCAGCTTCTTGGCGATGTTGTTGCAGCACTCCTGAATCGCCTGAATCATCTGAGCGTTCGCCGCTGTAAAGTCAGGAGGCGGAGCAGGAGCAAGACCAGGGGCAGCCGCCGAAGCAGGAGCAGGAGCAGGAGCAGGAGCAGGGGCAGGAGCAGGAGCAGGAGCAGAGACAGGGACAGGGGCAGGGGCAGGGGGGGTTGTGGTTGCTGTCGTAGGTGCTGCAGCAGAAACGTAGCTGCGGAGAAGAGAGGAGCATTGGTTGGTGCACTGAACAAGTTTGAGACGGGCATGCTGGATTTATCCGCACTTCCGCCGGGCGCCTTGAAGAGGGAGGAGGACGAGAAGTTGAAGGGGATGGACATGCTGATATTCTGAGCTATCAGCTCGATGTTTGAGACAAGATGACGGTAGAGTGACACGACAGGTCGTTCAGCAGGTCCTAAGACTGCGCCTTCCTCGGGACGCTCTCCTGCCGCCCTAGGTGTATGTGTGCGAGGGTGACCAGGGATCGAACCTAGCTTGCAGCTGTCGATCCCATCAGAGGATGTTCATCAGAATGTTCTTGATCTTCTCTCGTCTTCTCTTCTTATCTTCTTCTCGTCGCCATCGCCATCGCCTCCATCTCTTTCTCCTTCACGTATCACTCAGGGCGAGGAGGTCTGGAGGTCATAGGGTCCAAAATGATGGGGGTAGGGGTGTACTCTTACCCATAGATTTAGAGCACAAAGACTATAGAAAGGACGGGTATATTCATATATGACAATTTAAGGGGGGTGGGGTAGTTCGAACGTTGTCAGTTGTGTGATGCAGAAGAATGGAATGGACGAGAATGGCAAGAGAAGGAAGAGAAGAGAGAGAAGAAAGAGAAGAAGAGAGAGAAGAGAGAGACAGAGAGAGAAGAAGAGAGAAGAAGGGAGAGGAGGAGAGAAGAAGAGATAAGAAGAGAGAAGAAGAGAGAAGAAGAGAGAAAGAAGAAGGGAAGGAGGAGGAGGAGGGGAGGGGGAGGGGAGGGGAGAAGGAAAGGAAAGGAGTGGAGAGAGCAGGGCATATCAGCGAACAGCTGGAGAGTGGCAGCCAGGCAATGCGGGAGAAGGGAACAGGACAAGCATCATTTGACTGTATGAGGTATTCATGCAGGAAACCCACAAGAAGATGTAACCTCATTGTCACTGACATTTGACTTTTTCTTTCCTTCTCAGCTCTTCGACGACCGACATGGCGTATGTGCATCAAGAGACGTGGGTGAGGTTCGGAACAAACGGCATCGGCATCTCCGACCACCAGAACCATTACAGCAATGGCGTTAAGGTCGGAAACTGGGTGGAGAATCAGTATGGAGATGCTCTTAAGGTGAGAAAGAACTTAAAAATTGAAGAGAAGCAAGGAGGGAGGGATGGGAGGGAGGGAGGGAGGATACAAAGGAGGGAGGGATCAAATGTGAAGTGCTATGTGTTGTATCTATCAGACTCAAATTTCAAGTGCTGTATGGTATCCATATCATATACTCCCTCCAGTTCTGATTGTTGTTCTCGTCCCTCTGGATTTCATGGCTCCATCCTCACCTTCCTCGTCCTCCCCTCCTCCCGTCCCTTCCCCTCCTTCCCTCCTGTTTGCCACTGCGCTATCGTTCAATCTCCCCGCTCCTCCTCCCTACCTTGACGGAACTGGGCAGGAGACGAATCACGGGCGGCAACCCTTGGATATGAGGACAACAACTCAAGCCGACTTCATCGCGAGAACTGCTGACCCTGACGCGAACAAGAAGCCGACCACGATCGGCAACGTGTCCAACGTGCAGATGGTGAGAAGACGTCGTCTGAACAAGAGCAGGAGCACGTGTGCGCTGACGGGAAGAGGCAGGGGCAGCAGCGGGAGGGAGAGGAGGAGACTAGGCAGATGATATCGACCTACGACCTGTCCATCTCTCAAGTCCAGGGGCCCAAGAGAGTTGATACCGTCCTATGGAGCGGCGTGACGAAGGTGAGATGGTGTCGATGAGCGATGCTAGGAGGTGAAAGAAGAGACAGAAGATGATTGTTCTTGTATTTGTGCTGTGCTGTGCTGTGCTGTGCTGTGCTGTGCTGTGCTGTGCTGTGCTGTGCTGTGCTGTGCTGTATCCCTACCTTCTCCTTCCCTTCCTTTTCCTTCCCCTCGCTTCCTTTTCCTTCCCCTCCCTTCCCTTCCCCTCCCTTCCCTTCCCCTCCCTTCCCTTCCCTTCCCTCCCCTTCCCTTCTTTCTATGTGCCCGCAGGTCCTGATCCTTGAGATGTGTCAGGTGGACAGGAACATCCCGCAGGGGGTGCATGAGAGAAGCAGCCTGCTCGAGAAGAAGAAGGCGGAGGTGAGGAAGAGAGGAGAAGCGAAACGAGATGGAGAGGAAGGAGATGCTAACGAACGGGCCCTTAACCCACTCCCCCTCCCTCCCTCCCTCCCTCCCTCCCTCCCTCCCTCTTCCTCCCTCCCCTCATCTCTAACTTCTTTTGTGATCGCAGTGGAAAGCTGCGAAAGAGAGCACATGGCAGACTGCATACTCGAAGCAGGTGAAGGAACAAGAGGCATGTTGATGACGATCTGATGAGCCGCTTCTTGTGATGATGGTGGATCCGTCTGTTGTCTAAACCATGTGTTTTTGCAGTATATCAAGCCAGAAGTCGAGGGCGAGAGGGACACGCGAGGGATTGTGAGTGAAGATGTCAATGAAGAACATGTTGTTTGGTGACATGTTGTGTCTCCTCTCTGCAGTTGAAGCTGAGGAAAGATGATGTTAATTTCTGTCATGACAAGAGACAACATCTCGCGATGGGTTTGAGAGGTGAGAGGTGAAGTTCATACAAGGTTGCAGCTCTGACATTGAAGCAGAGCCATACTGAAGGAGATTGTTGATGTTCTTCCTTGACATGACAAGTCGTTGTTTTCTTACACTTTTGATCTGATTTCTTATCTCAACATGAGATGTTCGATTCACCCGCCCTTGACAAAGCTTCCTTGCAGCCATCGTCGTGTCATGAGCTTTTTCTCCTTCCTGGGTGAAGTTTTAGGAGAAGAATGAAAAAATGAGAGGCGGAGGCGGGGGGGGGGCGGGCTGGCTCAAAGGGAGGGAGGGAGAGGATGAAAAACAGGAGAGCAAAGAAAGATGAAGGAGATGGGGTGAGAAGGCTTCCGGAGCAGGAGAAAGCAAGGTTGGGGGAAGGATATCAGAGAGAGAAGAGAGAGGGGAAGGGGAGAGATGAAACATGAAGGCGATGATCACAGTCGATCATAACCAACTATCATGTACATGTCAGATGACCTCATCACCTGTTGTAGATCTTCCTGACTACTTCCTCGCACTTGTCAATCTTGAACCCTTGAAGACCCTCAGGCAAGATGTCGAGCTCGCGCTCTCACTCACCCACAGACTGGACGAGCTGAGAGAGTCGAGCTGAGCTCAGGTAGTGCGCCTGGAGTGGGGGAGAGGAGGAGGAGGAGGAGAGCAGGGGAGGGAAGAAGATTGAGGAGAGACAGAGAGAGGGAGGGAGGAGGAGAAGAGCAGGAGAAGCAGATCAGAGTGTGTGAGATTGAAGATGCAGCATCAACTTACTAGCGTGAGATCTCCTCGAGCATAGCAGTGAGATTGCAGATAAGCAGCTGAGAAAGTGAAGGAAAAGACGAAGAGGAGGAGTGAAGGAAAAGAAATGAAGGAGAACGAACGAGAAGAAGAGAAGGAGACGAAAGAAAGAAGAGAATGAGTGAGAGAGGAAGTGAAACATTCATGTCATTCTTGTTGTTTTCATTCTCTTCCTCTCTCACCTTCTCCGTGTCGAAGATGGGCAAGATCTCCTTGCGCGTAGTCCCTAAGAAGTAACTTCCTGGAATCATTTCATACAATTAGCTCCCAGCTCCTCCTCCTCCTCCTCCACGTTACCCGCCGATCTTGAGCATGTCGTACGCTCGTCTCAAAACAAGTTCCGTCTTGTCCGGTGGGACAGCCGACAAGACAAAACAAGAGTTGCGAAGTCCGCAGATTCTGCAATGAGGAAGAGGAAGAGGAGGACGAGGACGAGGAGGAAGAGGAGGACGAGGACGAGGACGAGGACGAGGACGAGGGGACATAGTCAGGTAAAATCGGTATAATACAATTCCATCAGCCACAAACACCTGGTGGAAGAAGAGACGACTGAGAATCATTGCTGGTTATGTCTTCAACCCAAGCGCAAACTGCTCCAGTTGTGTCATCAAGATATCTCCATCATCATCATCATCATCATCATCATCATCATCATCATTATCATCATCATCATCATCATCATCATCATCATCATCATCATCATCATCATCATCATCAGGAGCAGCAGCAGCAGCATTGACATATCTGACCGCGAGTTGGAATATATTCTGAGTTCGCTCGCATCAGTGAGATTGCGGAAGGAGAAGAATCGAAGGCCTGACATCCAAATCTCACCGTCATTGACAACCAAAACCCTCCCGACTCCTCCTCTCTCCTCCTCTCTCATTCCTCCCCCTCCCCCTTCCCTCTCTCTCCTCCCTCCCTCCTCCTCTCTCATTCCTCCCCCTCCTCCTCCTCCTCCTCCTCCTCCTCCTCCTCCTCCTCCTCCTCCTCCTCCTCCTCCTCCTCCTCCTCCTCCTCCTCCTCCTCCTCCTCCTCCTCCTCTCCCCCCCCCCCTTCTTTCTTCTCTCCTCATTTCTTCCCGCAGGAACATCATGGCGTCATCGTCAATCTCGTGGAAACTAGGCTTTCAATCAGGAATGATCTCATCCAGAGTAAGTGCTCCTCCCTCCTCCCTCCTCCCTCCTCCCTCCTCCCTCCTCCCTCCTACCTCCTTTCTTACTCCTCCTCCTACTCCTCCTCCTCTTTTCGCTCGCTTCCTTCTGTGCCTTGGTCTTATCTTCATCCTCCCCCTCTCGTGCTCGCTCTCTCACTTGCCTTCTTGCTCTCACCTTCCTCACATCCCATGACCTCCTTTACAGCCAGAAGCAGCAGACGCAAGGGAGGCA